ATTCCTGCATCAGAGTCATAATTATTAAATGAAATAGAACAGTTCCATTGGAAGGGACCTACAATGATCATCTAGTCCAACTTAAGAGTATATTAAGATTAATACATGACAATGAATTTATTATTGACAAAGCAACACTTAATTTGAAAATAGGCCACTGCAGAGAAACACAGCATCCATCCAACTTCCAGGGAAAATAAAATCCATTCTTTACAATTTAGTGTTGGCCTATTATTGGAATTTTATATCTTTACTAAATGCATTGAGAGACAATGTTTATTCTCATCCTGCATACCAGTACAGCTTCTCAGCCTTAGCTGGCGGTTCCACATACACCCATTCTCTCAATAAAGCAAATTCTTATTTGAACATATGACTCTCTCATGTCTGAGAATAATGGGAAGCCTACCTTCTAAGGTGGTTTCCTCTCCATCCAAGGGAGGGCCATCACCATCTTCATATTCAGAAATCACACTGACTGCGTAAGTAGTTTCAGGTAGTAAGTTGGTGAGAACTGAGCTAGTACTTGAAGCTGGTACTGAAACAATGAATTCATCTCCACCGACTGCTACTTTATATTTAATGAGATAGGACAAAACTTCAGATCCAGCTGGAGACCAGCTCACTTTGAAACTGTCAGATGTTACATTAGAAAAGATCATATTCTTTGCAGGTACATAAGCTGTATGGAAATAAAAATGCACAGATGAGGCATACTTGCTAGAATGTTTTTTAACACAAAATCTCTAAAATAAATGAAAAATGTCCCTCAATAACTTGATTTATTCTAACTGAACAGATATTTTGTTGCACATGCAACAGTGTTTGTTTTCTATACTTGCTTATAGCTATCAAAATTTAGTGAAGATCATATCTAGGTTGTCTCAAATCATATGACAATGAGTAGAAACACCAACTCAGTGATTTCTAGATCAAATGAGAATAGTGCATCTAAATAAATGCACTTATGAAAACTTAAGTTAGAATCTGATAATCAAGTTGGGTTCCCTCTTTCATATGTCCCATGAACAGCAATAACATTATGCCCTCAATGGGAACTGAGGATCCTTGGGTTTTTGCAGATCTAGATTAGAAATAGGACAAAATAAATCCCAGTATTTTTTCAGGAATGGAGTCAAAGGGGAAACAAGGAACTTGACATGAGGCACAAACACAAACCTGACATCCTGGGCTTGTTTTGGTTGGCCTAGTCAGCCTAACAGTGGGGATGTTAAGACTGCTTGAGCCCTCTAAAACAAAGGCTGCCTTGCTGGTTTGTTCCTCAAAGCTATCCTGAAACAAAAGGCTTATTTTTAAAGAGAGTGGGGTTTTCAATACTGGGGACTATTCAATTTTAGTGTTCTACTAAACATAGGTAGGGACACTGAGGGTGCAGCTAATCATAAGTAACTTTAGCTGACCAAAAGTTGGTCATTTAGAAATCTTTTAAATATTAAACATTATCTAAGCTTGCCAAATTTGGATGTATGTGAAGACTTTCATGTGCTACTTTGTTTCAGTCTTTACAGTTGGACTGAGATTAATATCACCTAGCATCTGCTGTCTCAAATTGTCTTGTCTAGGTCCTTTTCAGAGGGCCATTCTTTTTACCCTAAAAAATTAATCAGATCACCTCTGGAGATGCCAGCATTGCTCCACTGTCTTCGAAATTCTAAAAGACAAGCTTAGACGAGCTTCCTCATTTTGGACAGCTAAAGAATGGCCCTAATAAGTAACTGTTTTACTCAAGAAATTGAGTGTAAAAGCAGAGCGTATCCACTAGGTCATTCCAGATAGACACACACTTTAATAACTTTCTAGGTACCTAGGAGGGGAGGGGAAAAAAATATTTCTCCAATAACTTTTTTATCTCCATTTCTCCATTAATTTCCCCCATTGCTTGTAATATGTTTGAAAACTAGAACCAAATCCCCAGTTATTAAAATTATCGTTTGGATATGGACAATTTCATCAATATCAATTCTTTAGGTAACTACAAGCACAAAACTTTCGTTCAGATCTTTTTTCATTGCATTTTCTACATTTCTCTAAGTAATAGTAGTTACTTACATTTTTTCCTTATAGCAGCCAGTTCCTGCTCAATCCGCAGGCAGACAGACTGTGTAAGTTCAAATGATATTCTTTGAAATGCATCAAAATCTTCCACT